AACCGGGGCTACGCGGCCAGCTGCAGAGTCAAGCGTGTTACCCAGAAGGAGGAACTGGAGAAGCAGAAGGCAGAGCTGCAGCAAGAAGTGGAGAAGCTGGCCTCCGAGAACGCCAGCATGAAAATGGAACTCGATGCTCTCCGCTCCAAATATGAGGCTCTCCAGAACTTCGCCAGGACCGTGGCCCGGAGCCCCGTGACCCCTGCGCGGGGGCCTCTCGCCTCCAGTATGGGGCCCCTGGTCCCTGGGAAGGTTGCTACCACTAGTGTCATCACAATAGTGAAATCCAAAACGGACGCCCGGTCTTAGTGAAGCGAGTGTTGCCTGAGCTTGTCTGTGCAGGGCAATTAGGCACAAAACCAGCCTGGAATCCCCAAAGCACAAACCCTCCCCACATGGGTCCGGGTTCCTTCTACTTGGCCCAGGACTGGCCTGCTGATCACTCCGGTTTTGTTTTGTTGTGTCCAGATTGGTATGAGCAGTGGTGATGCATCCCTCGTCCTGTGCAGACAGAGCCTCCCACCTGGCGGCCTGTAGCCCTCAGGACAGACTGCGAGATCTTGGTTTTCTAGCCAAAGAAAGTCTGTGGCGCGGCCGGCGGCGGAAGGGCTTGGGGAAGGTCCGGAGGGAGGCTTGCTTCTTGGGGGGCCGGGAACCCTAATTTTCAGTCACTTCCAAAGGCTTTATTTCATTATTCTTCCAGGTGGTGCATCGCAGTGCCTGACTGCCAGGCGCCTGAACCTGCTGCTTTTGTCTCCTTCAGTACCTGTAGTTGCAGTTGGGGTGTTCTGTGTCATAGGTTTTTATTCCTTTCTAGGTGTGCCTCTGTGCCCTAACAGTGGGTTTCCTTCAGACATCCGTGGCGTTAGCCGTGTAACTAGCAGTGATGGAAAGGAAGATGCTGTGGTGTCTGCCCCTGGTGACGGGGCGGTAGCCGGGGGAAGAGGGCCCCAGCTGGGGCCCGGCACCACGGAGGAGGGAGGGAGGGAAGGTAGGTACCGCATTGACTGCAGGCCGGTTTTGTGCCTAATGTGTTGCACTGAACAAGACCAAAATCACTAGTTGTTCCCGTGTTTTGAGGGTATCAAGTGTCTCTAGTGTGATGGTTTACACAACCAGTTTATGTGGTTAAATAGCCCTTTATTTAAAGAGAGAAACATCATTTTAAGAGTTATTAAATTATCTAAGTTTAAAATTAAAATCAGACAGAAGAGAGAGTGTATTTATAGTCAGCTTTTTTATCTGAGAGGGCGAGAATATTTGACCGTGTAAATGGGGAAATATTCTCGGAGACTTTGCTAGTTAAAAGTTAATAAATAAATAATTTTAAAGTTTCTCGCGAACCTCCCGCAAACTGTTTGTGGCTCTGAGGTTAGTTTTTATAAAGAGTTATCGGACTTTATTTATAAAACTTAGAAAATGACAAAAAAAAGAGGCAAGTCCTGTTTGATATCTTTTTGCAATTGTACCAAAAGTGACTTATTCTCGACCTTGCTGGCTTCCGTCGTGTCCCCCTGTCTTGCGCTCTCTGAGCTCTCGCGTGGTGCTGTGGTGTGGTGGTGCCAGTGGCTGCCTTTGCCATGTGCTGTCGTTTCGTGCTGCCGTCGTTTTCCCCAAGATTGACAAAGAGATCAAGTCGGAATCTCTCCGAACTCTCCAGAAGGATTCTGGCACACGGGCAACGGCGCCGCTGTTCTCAAATGAATGGCTGGCGCGGCTGAGTAGTGATGCGTGCCCAGAACACGTGGCTCTGCCGAGGCGTGCCGCAGGAGCGCGGGCGGCTGGGGCCTGAGCAGCCAATGCCGCGTAACTCGGTTGCCTGGAAAACATTGTGCTTTCCTTCCTCTGACAAAGCTGGTAGAGGAGTAACACATGGGAGGATTGTCCAAGCTTAGGAGACCGATGGGATTTAGCTCTGGAATCGTACCCTGTGGTCAGAACTTGTGTTGCTCTTGTGGCTCATCTGTCAAGAGGGGCAAGTCCCCCTGCTGCCTGGGCCACGCAGGGCCAGCGCTAGTCCTGAGTGTCTGCATATTGCTGAAAATTAAGCTGTGGCATAGTTACTGTCTTTCCTGGTGTAGCTTCTGTCTGTGGGTGTGGAAGAGCGCTTAGACTTACAGCTGTGTGACACAGCTGGGAAGCTATTTGTGGCCAGGCTCCATTTCCACAAAAGCTTTAATCCCCCTCTCTCCTCCCCAAAGATGTGAGCTGGTTACTGAGTTGTTTTAGAGAAGCGTTGTTGGGGTGATATCCACGCGATCTCCTGGCTGCTGAAGGTCTCCTGCGCTGAGCGGCCGGACCAGGACGTCACAAGTGAAACCGCAGCCTTGCGGGCAGGTGGGGTTTGCTGTACTGGGTGGTTTGTGATGTTTCTCGTGTAGCTGAACCAATATGGCTGTCCTTTGGGCTGAGAAGCAGGTAAACCTGCTGAAAGCCACAGTGTGGCAGGAGAGAAGCAGATAGTTGGTGGGGATTTCCTGCTGGAAGGGGCGACGAGCTTTGCTCTGACTGATGGGGAGTTCAGGGAGAAGCGGTCAGGCATGCTTTTCCCAATGAACTTCCTCAGCAGGAGCAGGTTAGAACGTTGCCTCCAGGCTTCCTCTTCCAGCCCTGGGCTTCCCCTTCTCTGAGCTGAAGTGTCCAACGTGCCGCTTCCTAGTCACTCACCGGTGCACTGAGCAGCACTCGGCATGGAGCTCTGGGCTCTAACCTTTGTCTTCCAGCTGGTGACATGGTGCTGGAAGAGGTTAGATGTTCCAAAACATGGAGACATCATGTTGGCCTGGGGTGTGAGCCCCAACCCTGTCCTTCTTGGAGCTAGTCTGGGGTTGAGCCTGGCTAGAGCACCGCTCGGAACCCAGCTGGAGGCCTGAGCTCAGCAGGGTGAGCAGCCAAGGTTTTGTGCATGGGGCTGGTTAGGAACTGAGCTCAGGGGCTGGAGGCTGTGGTGTGAGGAGGCCTCATCAACAGAATGGGGAACGACAGGCGATCCTGCAGCCATGGTGAGCTTGCTTCCACAAGTTGTGCTCCACTGCAAGGAGTGTGCGGGTCCCTGCCTGCCTGCTGAGAGGCAGCCGTGCGGTGGCTGTGCAGTGAGACCGTGAGCCAGGAGAACAGAGCAGGTGTCAGCGCTGGCTCGCCCAGATGTTTCGCTGTCCTTTCTCCTCCCCTACGCTGTGCTTGCTGGCTGG